AAAAAAGTCATCATTTACATTTCATCGTCTTGCTGCTCTTGCGGTGGTCTCGTTCACATGACATATTGCAAAACTGGTATGGTAGAATTTGATTTCATGGCGAACACAGGCGACAGACCCTAACGTGGAAATCATGACACGCATGTCATGTGTGTCGTGAGTCACGTCTACAGAACACACTCATGATGCACTCGCAGCCATCTCGCTAGCTTCAGATATACCAAATTTGGCGTTACGTGATGCGAATGCATGACGAAGGTATGCGACTAGTGCAAACATGATAATCATGAGATGCGTGTCATGTGACATGACTGCAAGCCACACTCATAATGCCCTCGCAGTCGTTTTGCTAGTTTCACATACACCAAATTTGGTATTACGTGACGTGAATGGACAAAGAAAGGATGTGACTGGTGCAAGAATGATGCTCTACCCGCCGTTTCGCTAGGTTCACATATTCCAAGGTTGGTTTTACGGGATGAAAATGACGACGAAGGTATGTGACTGGTGCAAACATGATAATCATGAGATGCGTGTCATGTAACAACATGACCACATGACACGCTCATGATGCGCTCACGGTAGTTTCTCTAGCTTCACATATACCAAATTGATATTGCATGACGTCAATAGAGAGCGAAGTTAAATCGCACGTCCGAACATAATAATTATGATATGCGCGTCATGTAAAACATGACTACATGCTACGCTCACAGCACGCTCGCGGTCGTTTCGCTAGCTCCACATATACCAAATTTGGTATCAGGTGGCGTGAATAGATGAAGGTAAATGACGTCCAAACATAATTATTACATGAAAGTTATGTATGGCCTAATTTACCTCCGCTTCGTAACGTTGCTCTAATTTTAAACTGACATTAAACATTCCCATTCATGCTTCGCATATCATCGATTCCCACTGTAGGTGAGATCTTCCAATTTTTGTACCTCAGGTATCTCATTATTACTTGATAAGAGCTATTAGATGTGTTGCAGAAGCACGCTTCCTCACACAGCCATTATTCTGCATAAGCATATTTGCTATGACGTTTTCTCAATACTGGTCAAAATACGATTCTAGATACTGCGGCTGTTAAAAAGGAACACAAAAAGCAAGTTTGATATATTTGCATCCAAAGTTGAGTCTTCATTATTTCGAAATTCCAACGAGATAACAAATTGATGCATCCTTTCGATGACACCAGCAAGGCACTCATCACCAATATCATTTTTCTTCTGTTGGTGCTAAAAAACGTCTTGCTTGGCGAGCCTGATTTGCCGCTTTTTATGTAGCCGTCTCAGCACAACAATGTCAACGCAGTTCAAGGGTGCGCAGGCCCTGTTCTCTGGCGATATTTCAGATTAGATCAGCACATAAACACGGGCTATATTGCCATCCAATTATGTGAAAACAGCATCAAGAGTGCATACTTCGACAGTGTTTGGTGCACGAGTAAAGGGTTTTTCTTTTTTTTTTCAACACGCACCCCCCCCCCCCCATCACAATGCAACAACTTATGGTTTATTCAGATTTATTGGATAGATGCCTATGAAGTCATTATGAAATAATTCTGGATCAGCTGTTTCCAGATAATTTCGAATAACAGCTTCAGTTACGCATGCTTGAAGATCCTTTTTATGAACGAGCGGTTCAACATTAAAGTAGGCCTTGTTGAACTTACATCGATCTCCAGCGTCCTTCGAGCAAGACCGTTGGAGTGATTGGTATCCTTTTATTTCATTTGAAAATATCTGGACCAGACATATTCCTGCATGTCTTCCAAGCTAGCTCTCTTTCTTTAATGGCACAATGATATAAGTTTGACGCTTGCCAATTAGTCACAATTAACAACGTCCCCGACATAATATCGATTTGCTGACAGTAAGCTTGCTGCTGCTGTATTCTTTCGTTTTCGCAGTTCTGGGCCCGTTATCTTCCGTTAATGTGCCAAATGTACTCCATCTTGCAAACTGTAGCTTCTCCGCATGGCTATGGTGGTAAAATGGAGCATGCTGAGCTGCCACACAATGTTTTTGAAATATGTAATTTTTCAGAGAAAAAGTTATACTAAACAAAGGACACAATTCTGGTCAATAAACTGCTGCAGATTTTAAAGAACAAAAACAGATTTTTTTTCACTGTTTTTGCTCATCCTGTCTCTTACTATACCGTCAAAGTCCGCCGATGTTCGAAACTCTGCATTTGACGGACTAGGATCTCAGGAAACTTCAATACGTGGCGCATGCGTGGATGAGAGAAAAGACGGTCCACCGAGGGATGGTCACAGACTCGATCAAAACTGCTTGGAATCTAAAATACGCACACTACAAAGTTCTGCTCGACTTGGACGCCACTTTGCGAATCGGTCAGATTACGAGCCCGCGTAGCCCGAACTGCGGCTAGATGGGAAGATTCCACAGCTATGATCTTGCTGCCGCACCATGAAAGGTGTGAGCTGCGAGTGAAACGATTATCTATATTGTTGCTCGTAATATTTGTAGCACGGTGTGATATGCCTTGGAAGATGCAGCGTTGTCTACTTTGGAGGCCACGACAACCAGCCCAATGCAAGAACGAGAGATAGCCGCCCAATGGTCTCCCGAGACGACGTGTAGGACGACGAACCACGCACGGCAAACTTGAGCAGATTGCTGAAGAAAGGAAATCGACACTATTTTTTCGGTATTGCAGTACGCCGACGATCTTCTGAATGAGGTACATTGTTGGAAGGTTCACTCTACCAGCACAATTCTGTTTCTTTGATGAATCTCAGGCTCCTATCATTTCGGTTTTCACGCCTTGTTTTCGTTTTTTTTGCAAGTAGCTTCTCCAGTTATGTATTTGCTTGAACAGCGCAACCAGTCCTAGTTTGCTTGGAGCATAGTACTGGCTACTAAAGAACAGTTCATGGTACATTCCTTGTGGGGGTCGCGTCTCTTTGTATTGCTCCCTTTGATTGATTGATATTAGGTTTTAACGTACTAAATTCAGCATACAATTATGAGGAACGCCGTAGTGAAGGGCTCCGGAAGTTTCGATTGACAATAAGGGTTGTTTAACGAGCAGCCAAATCTGAGCACACAGGCCTACAGCATTTTCACCCCCGTCGAAAGTGCAGCTGCTGCAGCCGGGATTTGATCCTGTGACCTGCGGGTCAGCAGCCGAGTACCTCAGTGACTAGACCCCCTCCCCCCCTGGTGGGGCTATCCGGCGTGCCTTTGACAGGATAATACTTTAGGACATTTGTACAACAAATGAGTCAAACTTGACCTTTAGAACAAGGTAGCATTATGCAACTGACTATGATGGATTACTTGAAGTGAATACCAAAATATTTCAGAAACATACGGCCTCCAAAGAATCTATAAGAGCATGCCATTCATAGATTTTTTTTGTGTTTATTATAGACAACGAGTATGTTACTTGTAGAAGATTGTAGATTCTCGAAGCATTACACCAATAAAGAACACTTCATATGTAGGTGAGCCTACCTAAAATATTCGGTTTTGCCCCTCTATGCTGGAGTGCGATCAAGGAATTCCTTGATATTTTGAGTGCAAAACATTTGCTTGCGAAGCCCTGAGACCGTATCTCTTCCTGTCAAGCCCCATACGTATGCTAGTTCTTGAGGCCGCTTCCTTCTGACATACCAAAGCTGGCAGATGATTACGTCCAACAAGACTGCGAGGTCATAATACGAACACCAAGGAAAGCCTTGCGCGTGTATGAAACAGAACGAAAATTTTTCATTTTCATTGAATTATTTCACCCATTCACACAAATTACATCTCCGCATAATATCCATTATTGCCAGCATCATACAACTGGGGATTGACAGTGTATATATAAACACAGAAACACCGACATAAGGTCCTTGAGTTCTAACACATGAGCGTTAAAAACCTGTGTCCTACAAAAAAAAAACAGTGTCGATGTGGGCATTGCTGTCGGTTAGAAGAATACCTTGTGGGATAGCAAAGATAAATTTCAAGTTTCAAGCCGTAATCGATTCTCGGCATTTGGTGTGGCAGTAAAGTATTCAGCCACAATACCACGACAGATCTTCAGTTTGTCATGTAGTAAAACACCGTTTCACATGCAGTGTGTCTGCTAACAGCTTAAATAAAACTGTAATAAACATGGAATATCTACTCCTGAACTCGGCAGGCCATGTTAAAGCGATTCTAGAACCCGAACGAAAGCGCTGAAGAACGCTAGCATATATGCTTCAGCGCACTGCCCCATGCACTTCCTTTTAATAAAATGTCTGCTGTATTGTGAGCAATGTTATCGTACTTCGGGAAAGAAGCTAGCTTTTAAACGCCAGTGCCTTTTAAGCCCGCCAGGCTCATACATAGAAATAGGATTCGCGAGAGATGAGATAGCGCTCTGTCTGACTAAATGTGCCCTCGTTTTTTCTTGTTTTTTACGTGCAACAAAACTACAAGGACACTAACTGAAGTCGTACCTGGGAATTATTTTCTCGGAGGGGGGGGGGAGGGAAGGGGGCATTTGCTGAACATCTTGAAAAACATTTGTTTATTATTTTCACGGTAACATACTCCCTCCAACTAATTTAGGTGGGGGGAGCACCTAGCCTTTCCAGCCCTCCGTCTAAGAACACACGCACACTTCCCCTCTGGCTACGGGCTTGAAGCCCATGAGAAGGAAACAACTACTGCCTTTCAAACAAACACGAAACGTCGACCCACACCAGTACAATTGGCTCAAAGGCTAAAAAAATGAACTTGGGCAATTACTCATTGACTGCTTCACTTGAAATCGATTTGCACAATGCCGCTAATCTACCAGCGTTCGTTTCTTCTTCAGGGGCACCGATGTTAACCACATCCTGAAAGTAAGGCAAAAAATGCAAATGCATTCTTCTCAAAGAAGCGTTGAAATCACGCCTTCCTTGTCGGCTGGTACACACTTCTGAGTGCATTGTCGTTTCAGAGTAAGCGTGATAAACTTTGGCTGAGTGATTTATGCTGTCATACCTTTCGTTTCAGCAGCTGGTCGACAGGATAATCTCTCCAGTCGACATCTTCTCCGCGGGTTTGTTGACCATCGTGCGGACAGCAACACCCCTCTTGAGTCCGGCACTGTTCATAGCACTTCTTGCAGAATGAGTGCAGACAAGGCAGTATTGCGGTTATTCTGGATACAATACCGCATGCTTGGCACACTCTGTACGATGGTATGGGATCCACAGAGCTCAAAGTTCTCCAATTCAGTTCGTCGGAAAAACCAACCAAGGTGTACCGATGCCCCAGAGTAGGAGGCATTGTGAATGCTGCACCCGACTGTTGTCACTGTCGGAGCTACGCCTGCCGCATGAACCTTGAAAGGTTGTTAAGATTGTTCACAACCGATAGTTGCCATGGACGCTTTCACGCTGATAGTGCCATTATGCGACTTTCAGTGAATTCATATCAGAAATTATTGTGTATCAGAAGGATGGGTATATGTGTGCCGATAATGCACTTTCAACCCGCTGTGATTACGGCTCACACAGTGACAAATTCATGGCAAATATTTTCTAACAAAAATTTCTTTAAAAACCAAGATGCTAAATACAGCAAGTCTTATCTTATTGAACTTCAAAAGTAGAACACTGTAGTCTTCATTCTCTTAGCAGAGCACTCATTATGCTAAACGAATCGCACAGCTTGCGCTAGTATAGCACAAGGCTCGAACTATAGGGAACTAGAAGATATGCAGTGGCATGACTGGCGGGGAGGGCCCGGTTTCTTGGCGTCTCTTTACGCTCTGGACAGTAGCTAGTGTTGGTGGCGACGCTGCTGCTCCTTTTAATACATGAAGCCTTCATGTGCACGCTTCCTGAACAGAGGCGGCACGCATATGAAGACTCGTTATTTTCATAGTGTGTGTGGCGGCAGTTTTGGTGCACATAAAATGTGGCGCGTGAGGCGTGCTTCATCCGTCTCTTGATGACTAAAGACATTGCTGGTTGCTTAAACCTAGCTTCATTCACACGCATGCGAGACATTGGTGGCCTTCTCTACGCGTCCAAATTCCTCTACACGTTTGTGGGAACTTTGAAAAATACTTGTACTGGATGTTTTAGTGTTTTATAACTGCATTTTGACAGGGTACTCTATGTGTTAAGACACTTTAGGCGGAAAAAGAAAAATTAACTTGGATATCCACAACATTCTGAGCAACACGGCGCTGAAGTCACGGCATTTTATGCCACAACACTTCTCCACTTTTTTACGGAGAGCATAAACCAGTGCAGCATAAAAAAGTGTGCAAACATTTCAGAATGAGCAGATGCTTGTCATTATTCGCTGAACTCTAAACAAAGGAGGTTTTCTGCATGCCTTTTTGTCTTTGAATTCTTCAGCAATCTTTTATACACCTGGGATGTATAGAACTGCACTTAACCTGAACTACATAATAAATTACTGCAGGATCTATAATTTATCTCGAGAGTGAAGGTTGATATCAGCGGATCATCGCTGGTGAAGAAACTGGTAAGAAAATCCCAAGCAAAGTGCTGCAGGGTATACCTTAGGAACTCATCAACGCTCTCGTCGTGTTGAGAATGCTTTATTCTCCTGACTTCCTGATGACATTTAGCTCTCCTGCCCATTTTGATTATGGTATAGTTACCAAAGTTCGTATGCCTTATCATGATGGTATGACAAGCATGAGTGACTAGTCATAATATGGAAGCCATCACATGTATGGCATGAAGCTCATAAATTACATTTCATGGTTTTGCAACTCTTGCGGTAGTTTTATTCACATGACATGTTGCAAAACTAGCAAATTATGACATGACTGCATGGCCAACACAAGTGCCACGTTCCATTTCTCAAGTTTTGTTATCGCCCCAAAACACTACACAATACTCAGCGGAAAACGCGCGAGAAGTTTTCGAGAAGCTTCCAGACTTTAGTAGATCATTTCGATAAGATCACGACCACTCTGCAAACTGTACAGATTATTCTGAAACCTACACCACCGCCAGCGATAACGCTAGAACAATCGATGGCAAGAGTATAAATGCCGACGCACTTCGCCACTTGTCAGTAGTTGATCGACGGCCGACGGCCGACTGCTATCTGTGCAAGACTGCTACTGTAATCGGACTTTCCGTTTACCGGGCACAGGTTCACCCAAATAAACTGTTAAATCCCAACACAAAGTATCCTGTCTTCGGCCACGTCACGACCCCGTGACACAAGTGACAGACCCTAACGTGTAAATTGTGACATGCATGTTATGGAAGTCATGAGTCATGACTTACACATTACACTAATTGTGCACTTGCGCTCGTTTCACTAGCTCCAATTACCAATTTCGGTATTACGTGACGTGAATGGATGAAGAGCCTGACTGGTGCAAGCACATATGACTGGTGCAAATGTGATAATCAACACAAGAGTGTAATGTAAGAACATGACAACATACCACACTCATGCTGCGCTTGCGGCCGTGTAGCTAGCCTCACAAATACTAAATTCGGTATTGCCTGCCATGAATGGACGACAGACGTGAGTGACATGTTAAAGCATAATATTTAAGACATGCATGTCAAGTAAGACATGATTAGACATTCAAGCACGCTCGCAGCTATTTTGCTAGCTCAACATATACCAAATACTATTTAGACGACGAAGGTAAATGACACGTGCAAACGTGGTAATCATAATGTGAAAGTCATGTACAGCTCAATTTACGTCCGCATCGTAACGTTGTGCTGATTTTAAAGTGGCATATCAACATTCTTCATTTGTGCTTCACATATAATCGATCCCCACTGTACGTGGGATCTGCCCATTTTTTTCTAAGGATTTACTTTAAAATAGTAAGGAATCAACCACTCATTCATTGTATAAATAAGTTCACCGAATTCAGAACAGAAATAAGAAAAGTGGTGTCATCAGCGTATATCATAAACTGAACTGCCGTATCAATATTAGCAAATTAGTTAGCAAACAGGTAAAAAATCGGCTGACCTGATACGCTTCCTTGCGACATGCCGTTTAGGATAAGATGGAAACATTGTTTTTTTTATGCAAAGTGATTATTTGCGATAAGGTATGTAAGGCTCACGGAAGGTTAATTGATTGAATACCCATTAGGAAATACTAACTTTCACAGTAATTATATGGGCTTTAAGCAATCGAATAGCTTACACAAAATGTGAAAGTTAAATTATTTCTATGATATTTTCCAGTGGACGAACCTTTAGTGTAAGCCGAGCAGTTTCCGTTCGGCTACCTCTACGCAATCCGAATGGAGCAACAAATAGAATGTTGTGTCAGTCGAAGAGAACGGAAAGTAAAGAAAAACAGTTTTTTCTAATCATTTGGAAAATGCCGTAATTAATGAAATAACTTGATCATTTGACACATAAATTCTTGCATGTCCTGTACAAAAGGCAGTTATTCTGCTAATTTTGATTTTTTTCTGATAATATCCCACACTTTAAAACCATGCAGATTAAAAATGTGTGTTAGAGCTCGAGTGGTGCATTCCAAGACATATTCTAAAGTCTTTATCTGCATGTCATCAAGAACGAGCACTTTACTTCTCTTAGGGCTTCATTGATTATACAATATGTGGAGTTTAACGGCCCAAAAGCACGATATAGTTATGAGACGCACTATAGTGGAGGGCTCCAGAAATTTAGACCACCTGGTGTTCTTTAACGTGCTCACAAGTCTGAGCACATGGGCCTACATCATTTCCGCCTCCGTCGGAAATTCAGCCGCCACCATCGGGATTTGATCCCGCAATCTGCTGGTCAGCAGCCAAGTACCTTAGCCACTAGACCACCACGGCGGAACTTAGGACTTCATTATTATGCTAAATACCTAAACATAATAAATACCCAAGGATTTAAAATAAATTGTTTAAAGTGCAATGAAACGACGACATTTGTGGTGGTGTTTGCTGTATTTCAATAAAAATTGTTGTTTTGCCACAGTTATGCTTGCAAAATGCACGTTGAAATAACTAGCGAGCGCTAAATTAGAGATTTTTCTTTTGTTGCGGATTATAGCGTCCAGCGGAGCAGATGGCCATGTTGCAACCAATAACCTCATCCCGCCAACTCACTAAGATATCGGAGTTTACGACCAATATATGGTACATCAGTGGCTGAGATAACCCAGTTGCTTATGCACTATCATGAATAGAAGTCTAAGCAATGGTGGATGAGCACCCACCTCTTCATTACCAAGATAACTAAAATCTGAATGCCGATTTTGGGTATTCTTTTTCAGTTACGTATTGTCATAGTGTATTGAATTCACCTCATCAGGTTAATCACAGATATATAGAAAGGACGAAATGGGTGTTCTCTATTTTACACACGCATACAGACACTTTGCAAATATACAAACAACAGGTATCAAAAATAGACAAACTTAGAAAGATAGTCCCTTATTCTAGAGTTAAATAAGAGGAAGATTAAAATGCCCTGTGCACCATTACCACCGGCAGGAAGTCAGTGGAGTCTTCGAAGTGACGTGAGGCAGTTGTTGACTCGGTAGTCATTGTTGAACCAGGAGTCAGGTCGCAATGCAGAGTGTTGCGCAAACGTGTTGTAGGCGCACCACAGAGCAGCTGGCGTAGGTGCAATGCTTGATTGATCAAGAATATGTGCCAACCATTCATAGCCCGAAGCTCAATAACGGGAAGCATCGGCCAGAGCCAGCATTGCTCGTCGACATGGCTGCTTATTTCACAGCGTTCTGTAGCCAACTATTCTTCTCACGCGCACCACTTGCGCTCTGTCTACTTCAACCTCGTCTAGTTCAATTTGCTGTGTGGTGTGACCACCCTTACTGCGTATGCGCATCCCTTCCCCTTCTCATTCGTCTAGGCATCCCTCCCCGCGGCGTTTACACAACCATTGCACAGGCACGTCTCTTCCTCTCCTACTCTGAACACCTCCACCTCCCCCCTGTATCTTGCCTCACAACGGCGACAGCGTCTCTAAGCGCCTTTCTTGATTGAGAAAACCGACTGCTCTGGCTTCAACATCGTTTACTGTCCACCCCGCATATATAGGCAGTTACTAATAAATAAATAAATAGGTACTTCATCTTATATGGTTGCTTGCTTGGCTAATTCGTTAATTTTACCATATTGCCAAACTCCTTCTCAGGTTGTATTACCACTCCATTGCGCTGTCAGTAATCCACAGCAAAAACCACACCTGCAGTGTTTGAGAAAGTTCAGGGCTGTAGAAGACTGTCTTTTTTGAAGATTATGCCCACTTCGCAAGCATTGCATAATAATCTAGAGCCTACGCAACCAC